GCCTCTGGGCATAGGTTTCTAGGAGCCACCCACCCTGCAAAATCCTCGCCGGGACTCCCCACCGCGCCCCCACCGCGTCTGACATTCCCAGCCCCCCTGAGGCCTCTGGGCATACGTTTCTAGGAGCCACCTACCCTGCAAATTCCTCGCCGGGACCACCCACCGCGCCCCCACCGCGTCTGACATGGGGGCCCTCACCGCGCCCGCCACCGCGTCTGACATTCACAGCCTCCTGAAGCCTTTGGGGATCAGTTCTCCATGGCCCCCCCCCTGCCAAATCCTCGCTGGGACCACCCACCGCGCACGCCACCGCGTCTGACATTCCCAGCCTCCTGACGCCCCTGGAGATGAGCGCGCAGCTCTCCTGGACCCACATCCAGACCGGGCGCGCCCCGCGATCCATGCCCGCCGGGCTTTCCGCTTCACGCTAGCTTTTTCGCAGCCGCTACCACGTCATGCGACCGGTCTGCCACGCGCTTCCGACTGCGCTCCTGTGCTGCATCGCATACGTTACACCGCTGTGTTCCGCCCGATCTCTTCGTCGCCCGCCTTGACAACCACGCGCTGAATCCCGCCTTCTCGACGCAATTTTTACACTGCGCGCACTTCCAATACCCGCGCGGCGGTCGCGCCCCCTTCACGCACGTTTCGCACTTGCGTTGCTTGTCGGCGACGTCGTTCCACATTCGCCTGGAGAATGCGCCCTCCGGCTGTTCCTCGCCGCACGCCACGCACGACTTCACCTTCGCCTTCTTGACGCACGTTTCACACTTGCGTTGCTTGTCGGCGACGTCGTTCCACATCCGCCTGGAGAATGCGGCCTCCGGTTGTTCCCCGCCGCACGCCACACGCGACTTCACCTTCAATTTCTCGTTCCTTTCGGCGGCAGCCCGCTCGACGCACTCCGTGCATTTTCGCGGCCTGGGCCTCTCTTCCCACATTGAGCCCGAATACATGTCGCGCGGTTTCTCCTCACCACACCGCGAACACTTCTTCCGTTCCTCCTCTCCCCCCCGCCGCTCCCCCTCCTTCCTCTCCTCTCTTTTGCATCTGTCGCACCAGCGCTCCACGTCATCGACGTCGCGCTTCGCGAAATGGGTGGCGATCTTGCTCTCCTTGCAGCGGCCACATACGAGGTGCTTCTTCAGTTCTTCACACTCTGCGCACATTCCTCCCCTACCTTGGCTGTTCCCCGCCAGTTCCCACTGATACCGCGCGAACGCCTCTTCGTATTTCCGATGCTCGCACACGCGGCAACTCCGTCTCTCGGGGCAGTCCACGCAGCGCCGCGTGGTCAGCTTCGACGGGTGGTGCTGTGACGCGTGGAAAGCCTCCTGGCACTTCCATAAACCACAATCCATGCATTGCCACGGCGTGCCCGCCCTCTTCTCATCTTCCAGGCACACGGTGCACGCGCGGAGCCCGTCTGCGCGGCTCCACTGCCCGATCGTTGGGTACATATTCTTGTACTTCGTGCACCCGCGGACCGCGCACCTGCCGGACGGCATGAACTCCTTCTCTATCGCCTCCCAGTCCAATTCTTCTCCGCGCAACGCGCGCAGCAGCAAGTCCGGGCCCTTCCGCTCGTCCTTCTTCTGATACGGCGCAATGTCGAAAGGGCGAAAGATCAGCATATCCTCGCGGCGCTGCGCCCGCGTCAGTGCCACGTAGCTCGACAGAGGTGACGTGCCCCCGCCGATGCTCAGGTCCACAATGACACCCTGCTTGAACGTCTGCCCCTGCGCCGCATGGGCCGTCACTCCGATGGCTGGCGCTAGTGGGAACTGCCGTCTCTTAACCTTGAGTCGCGGATGCGGACGGCCCTTGTCCACGAACCAATCCTTCTTCTGCGGAACCACGGGGTACAAGCCGGGTGTCGTTAATCCCTCGATCGTCCACTGGCGCGGCTTCCTGCCGCCGTTCCCGTCATCGCCTTCGTCGAACAACACGAAAATCACTTTTGGCGTCTTCTTCACAATGGTCTCCCCGCCGCGCGTGACTAGATCATTGACGTCGTCCCCGTCGCATACCCAGGATTGCACCCGGCCAACGCGACCGCGCAGCAGGTTTTTGTCCTCGCTTCGATCGATATGATCGGCCAGAGCGACGGGCATGCCTTCTGCGATGGGCAAAAAGCCGTGCAAGTCCCCGCTCTCCTTGTCGTGTCGTTGCAGCCATGCCATCTTCTGCTGCGGCAGATCTGGCCGCTCCCGCAGCGCCTCTGGCGTGGGCGTATCTCGCGCAGGGACGTACACCATTGGCTTTCTGTGCTTGCGTGCGTACTGGGACGCACGGAGCTTGTTCGCCTCGTACTTCACGTCGTTGTTTGGGAACACACCCGGCGCCACGAGGAACTTGTCTGACTGCAGACGCGGGTCGTCGGGACCATCCACCACGAGCTTGCGGCGCGCGCGTTCCGCTCTGCACACCTTGCACTCCTGCTCGCGGATATCTTTCGGCGTCACGGGGCGTTTCCGTCGTTGCCCCGCGCTGGACGACGCTGCGTCCCTTCCGCCACTGCACAATTCCCGACACGCTCTATTCCCGCAGCATACGTCCCCCCCCAACCAGCTCCCAGGAACGGTCGTATGCCGGCCGTGCAAGAATGCGTGCGCATCCGCCGACAGCGACCCTCTTCGGAATTCCTCCTGCGGGAAGAGGCGCAAGGACGGCGACGGAGACAGCAGCAGCGACGAGGACGACGCAGACCCTGGGCAGGGAGCTGGAAGCGTCTCCCACTACGAAAATTCGAAAGGAGGCATGAGTGTCGCGCAACAGGTGTGGGGGCTTCGCGATGGCGAAACGCCGTTGAGCGGGATTCTGAGTGCATGGCCCGCGGAGGAGCCCTGCGACGTTGAGCAGGTACTCAGGGAGGCGCGCAAATCTCGGAACAAGGAGGAATCCATGGCAGACCGACTGGCGGAGGCTGACGGCGCAGTTGTCGTCGCTGGCCAGGCGGCAACATCGGAGGACGTTGCCGCGTGGCTCAGGGACCTAGAGTTCCGGGTGGACAAGCACACGGGGCGGCGTGTTGTGAACGCGAAGCAGTTCGAGATGGTCAAGAAGGTGGCGTCTCGAGTAATGCGTGAGATAGACGGCGAAGGAAGAGAGGACGGCAGCATGGGTGAGCCGCTGCAGCGGTGCATGCACGGGGGCCCTGGGACCGGCAAGTCGCACGTGCTTCGCACTATTCGTCATGAGTTGTTTGAGAAGGTGATGAAATGGACTATCGGAGTGCACTTCCAGATAATTTTCCTTCTCCTCGGGTTCCTCCCCATCTTCCTCCTCCTCCTTCACCGTTGGGCCTGGAGGATTGCTCAATGAAGATCATTCGTGATGGATCAAGATCTGCCACCGTGCCTGGGGCACAGAGTGGGCGTGTCCTCCGGTCGTCTGCCTCAGACCTGCGTGACTGCTTCAGAAACAACAGTGCCACAAGACGGGCAAAGAGGGCCCAAAACAGCGCCCACGGCGAATTAAATCGAGCCGACGACGACGCGGCCGCCACAGGCAAGAGTCTATCCTCGACGCCCACCGCGGTGACGGAGAGCGCACCGACCCCTGCAAACAAACAACACAAACCCTCCTTTGGGGTCGGCGGCAGAGGCGGCAGCCTTTAGATAAGAAACGAGGCCCCCGTCCCACAAGTTACGATTTCCCATGAGAAACCGCAGGAAAACCAGAGGCAAACTGTAAAACAATCAAGGGGCACCGAGCCCATCCCCCACACAAAAAGTTCCTGCTTCAGCGCCCCGACTGCCTCACTACTCGCCGGAACTCCTCCGGAAGTGCGCTCTGACAAAAGAATGCCGGGGCGAATCCGCTTGTGATGGCGAGTGCCGCCCAAGAGGCCCCCAACGGCGAAAACCACGGAGGTGCTGCGGCACCGGTGCCTGTCGCTAAGAAATCAAGGTCTTGTGTTCCTCGATGAGGCGGTGTGGCTCCTGAAGTCCCGACCCCTTCCTGTGGGGCTGCTTGTTCATCCCGAGTCGCTTCTGTTGGCGGTCATGGGGCCCTGGGTGGGGCCCCAGAGGCAGAAGCCGACGAAACACCTCCGTCCTGCTTTCTCCACGGCGGGGGCCCCCATCCAGCCTGGGCTTCTCTGCTGGCCTTCTCTGCTGCAAGGACCCGGCTTCTCACCCCGAGCTGTCTGTTGGCGCTCCTTGGGGCCCGGCGAGCGCTCACAATAGCTGACATCGGCCAGCGAGCTCCCGCCGCGATTCTGTCGTGGCGCGAAGGTGGGAGAGCCCAGAATCGAACCGACCAGTCGGATCGGCGATCGAAATGAATCGGAACGGCAGAAATCGGCAGCTACGTCAGGAGAATTCGAATCGGCAGAAATTGGCAGTCTAATAGGCCTCCATTGAGGAGTCGGATCCCAAATCGGAATCCGAATCGGAATCCGAAGCCATCGAAATCGAATCGAATCGAATCGGAGGAATTGAAACGAGATCTGTGAGGTGGTCTGGACCCTTTTCCTCCTCCGATGTGAGCCTCCCCAATGAGCGACGATCAAGAACGGGCCTTACGCGAGGTGGCACGCGATGGCTTTCGCGGGCCGCCGGCACCGCACGCCACAGTGGAGACGGGGGGCGCTTACGCGCGACATCACGCGGGGAGCTTACGCGCCAATGTCGGCGCAATCGGACCCGCTCTCTTGCGCCGCCCAGATGGGATCCGAGCAGACGGGGTCGGAGGAGCGCACGGCATCGCCGCTGCACTGCCGGTGCACGGCCGATGCGCCGGGTCGGCGTGGAAGCCATCGGGCCCCACATCGGGCCGCACCGCCGAGGCGCTGGCGATGCGGCGCCCCATCTGCCAGAAACCCACTTTGGAGGCCCTCGTCATCGCTCGGACGTCCATTTTTTGTGTTTTGCTTGGTTTCGTGCGTGGTTTTTTCGCCAAATGGTCAAGGATGTTCCTCGATGGTCCTCGCCGAGAAAAAATTCACACGTCCGAGCGATGCCAAGACTTTGGAGGCCTGGCTCCTCCGAGAGGACCTGCTGCAGGTCCGAGTCCGTCGGCTCGGGCTCGGCGCCCGGCGGCGCCCCCGCGAGGGCCGCGCGCAGCCCACGCAGTACCTCCTGGGCGTCTCGGCCGGCCGCGCCGCCCCGGGGCGCGAGCTGGGCGTCCACGGCCTGGCTGCATCCACGCTCCCCGATCCCAGCCCTCCGCTCCCCCCGCCCTCCGTCCTCCATCCTCCCTCCTCGCCCATCGGTCCTCGATGCCCGATAACCCGATCCTCGATGCCCCGTCCTGCATCCTGGGCCCTCTCTCCTCGCTCCTCGCCCCTCGCTCCCCCGTCCTCCACCCTCCAGCCTCCAGCCTCGGCCCTAGGCACCCCATCCTCCTTCCTGCATCGTCGATCCTCGGACCCCGACGATCCCCGGTCCTCCCATCCCCGAGCCTCCAGCAGCCGCCGCGCCGCGCGGCCCTCCAGCGAGAGGCCGAGCGCGCCCGCGCGGGCGCGGAGCCGCTCCTCCAGGAGGAGGAAGGCACCCGCGAAGACGAAGCCAGGACGAGGATGACATCGGGTGGGGATGAGTCGAGAGTCTCTGAGATGTCTCGGGGGCCGAGGCCTTCTCGGAGCATTCTGGAATGCCCTGGAGCGATGCCAAGCTGTGAGCGTTCTGGAGTGCCCTGGAGCGGATTCGTCCTCGCCCTGGCCTCGTGCGACCCGTGCCGCTGCCCGTGCCACGCTTCCGCTTCCTTGGGGAGCTCCTGGGGGGCACTCGTCGCCACGGCCAGATGGGCCTCGAGATCCTGGCCAGGACGCACCAGGAGAGGCACTGGGAGTAGTGGTATCGGTATTTCCGTCAGTCGCTCGTTGGTGTTCGTTCGTCGTTCGTTCGTCGCTCGTCGTCGTAGTAGTCGTCGCTCCTCGTCGCTCGTCGTCGCTCGTCGCTCGTGGTCGGTCGGCATCGTCGCTCGTCGTCGGTTGTCGTCGATCGTCGATGTCCTTCGTCGTCGTGTGTAGTCCCACCAGCCCTTTAGGGCGTGACTGGTTTAAGGCGTTTCTTCTTGGACCCCTCCCCCTCTTCCCCCCCTCCCCTGGGCCTGGACTGGGCGTTTCGCGGGTAGCTGGAGCGTCCAAGACGGTCTCGGCGAGAAGGCCAGCATCATTGATCTTACTATGACCTTGGCCACATGGTGGCCTCCTGGGGGTGCAGCGCTAATGGAGTACGTGCGAGCGCATCCAACATTGCCCCCACATGACCTCGGAGGCTCCCCAGATGGCCTCCGAAGGTCCCAAGAGGCGCTGAGGAGGCCGCGAGGGGCCCCCGAGAGACCCCAAGAGAGGCTCCCCCGAGGCTCCGAGGCACCCGAGAAGCTCTACGAGTGCCCCGCGACCGCCAGGAGGCCCCCAAGAAACACCATAGAACTCCAATGAATAAGCTGTCAAGAGACACCCGGAGAGAATCCGAGAGGCATCCAAGAGGCCTCTGGCCTTTGCACTCGCCCTCCTCGTCCACTCCCGCATCCGCCTAGTCCTCCTCTTCCCTCTCCCCTCCTCTCGCTCCTCCCTCTTCCCTCCTCTCCTTCCTCCCCCTCCCTCTCCTCCTCCGATTCCTCCTTCATCCTCCCCCTCTTGGGAGGCGACGGCTTCCCTAGCCCTTCATTCCTCTGCATGCTCCTCCATCTCTCTGATCAGGGCAGCTCGCCCGGGCATCGTTCCTGGAAGGGCTGGTGGGGTCACGCGAGGCGTCCAGAATACCCCTTGGTTTCCCCGGCTCCTGGGCGCCCTCGTCTTGCTCGAAGAGGGCGGCGCGGTGGTCGGCGCTCGCCTCCAGGTCCTCGGCGGAGAGGGCACCAACGCGCAGGGAGACGAGGACCTCCTGGAACATGCGCGCGTCCTGCTCTGCCACGGGGAGCTGATCCCAGCCCTCGTGGAGGCCACCGCACGGGCTCGGAGCGGGTGGGGCCGGAGCCGTCGCACCGCATCGCGGGTGCACAGCCGAGGCGATCCGCCAGCAACGTCGGCGATGCATCGGCGACGTCGGCGTGGAGCACATTCGGGCATGGACAGACCCCCCGGTAGTAAAACGTGGTTTCGTGAAAACGACCCGGGGCCCAAACCTGGCGGGCGCAAGCCTGGAAAACGACGGCCATCTTAACCGAGAACGGACAATCCACTAATCGACGTGTCACTGCTGGGGGTTCTGTCCACCCCCGAAACGTGGGGCTCCACGCCGAGCCGCATCGCCGATGCCTCGGCGATGCGGCGCGATCCTCCGCCCTCGCGTGCTCGGGCCTCGTCTTGGGGGGGCCCGGACCTCGGGGGCCCGCACGGGGCGGCTCTTGGCGAAGCCCAGCCTCTCCGAGAAGCTGAAGCCGCGGTAGAGGTCCAGATCGATGAGGCCTTGCCGCTTGGCCGCGTACAGCGGATCTGCCCGGTCCGGGCTCAGGTCCAACTCCTGGGGGGCCCCGTGAGCACGTGCGTGCCGATACCCTCTGCTCCGCGGACCTCTCCGGGGGTGCGTCCTGACCAGAACTTCGAGGCGGCGGCGACACGGGACTCCCGAGGGTGGCGGTTTCGGCTGAGCAGGGAGCGCACGTCCTGGCACTCCTTCAGGCATGCAACGGGACATCACGATGGCCAAATGACGTTTGGAGAACAACACTTGTTCTCATAACGTATCACCCACAGGTTGCAGCAAGACTGCCTCTGCCAGAAATCTTGTCAGAGCAGTTCGTGCGAGCCGCCAAAGGCTCATATAACATTTTAGCGGTGTCCGACAGGCAGGTCAGGACTCTTCGCCACTGCTTGAAGCGGCACCTTTGCCTGGAAATCCCGACCCTTTCTCCAGGGCCAGGTTTTTCACCCCGGGTACCGCTTGACTGTCCCAGGGGCCGTTGGGGGCCACCTGATGCCGAACACTGCTCAAAGCATTCTGTCGTGATTTTCTCACGGCTCGAGGGGGGTCCTCTGATCGACCTCACGCAGGAGTGACCCTATAGGCAAGCGCGACCGCTGCTGCGCGGCTTCTCAGGGTGCCGCGGGGCGGCCCCATCCAAGCGCGCAGGGGGCCATGCTGGCGGGACCCCCTCCGGGCCCGCACCGAAAGGAAGGGTCGTTCTTGCGCGTAGCCTATGAGATGAGGGGCAACGATAGGGCAAATGTGATGCCAAAACCTAACTATTTATGCACAAAACAAACATTATTATATCAGTTAGCTTCAGTGTGCATTACTCAAACCCTAAAAACACTCACCAAAGCGAGGACTGGCATGGGGGGAGCACGTGGATCTGGAAGCGGCGAGACACGAACGATAGCTCGGCGAGAGGCCGCCGATCGTGAATCCGCAGGTTTTGCCGGGCTGGTGTTGGGGCCATCGGGCGCCTATCAGCGCTCCATGGGCGATTTGGGGGTCGATGCATCCTGGACCCTGGAACCTTCCCCTAGGACCAATTCTGAAGGGGCCCCAGGACACACAAATAAATACACAGAAATAAAAATGTTCCCCATATTTTCCAATATTTTCTGGGTTTCTGTCTTCCCCCCCACTTCCCATATTTTCCTATATTTTCTTGGGAATCGAAGATTAAGTGTGTCTGTGTGTGTCTTTTCCTCCTGAAATTCTTCGTCTTGAATATTTGTCTGACAATCCCGACGCCCGTGAAGGGCCCCGAACGCCCGAAAACGGCGAAACCGCTCAGGACCCGTTCCCCTTCGGGTCCGCTTCCCCCATCGTGACGCTATCGTTGCCCCTTCTACAGGGCGACGAAATGTATACATATCCACTGCACCCTGGCCGAACCTATCCTGAACCCAGCAGCGGTGTATCCGCTACGCCCTCCTGGCTTGGTCAGGAGGGCGTACACACAGCTCCTGGGTTTGGGGTTTAGGGTGGGCCTGGCCATGAAGCAGTGGATCTGTGTAGATTTCGTCGACCCAACCCACGCACAGCCGATCTTAGATGCCTTCCGGATGGAATCGGAGTAGGTGGGGTCGAAGGATCGCGCCGCATCGACGATACATCGGCGATGCATCGGCGACAACGGCGACGCAACGACGATGCACCGGCGATGCGGCGCGATCCTCGAACCTCATCTACTCCGACCCCATCTAGGAGGCCTAGAGATCTGAGCTCCACGGAGTGCCACGGGTTCGAAACCGGCGCGAAGCCGTAGTGCAGCAACAACTCCCTGCTGGACCTCTCCGAGCCGTAGGAGCAGGTCACCGCTCCCCCGGCGGCGAGCGGCGCGCTGGCGCGGAGCTCGAAGCCGCCCTTGGCCGACGGCCCCCACCACGTGGGCGCCTCTGGAGGCCCCCAAACTCAGACCCTGTGAAATCAGCGGCGCGGCTTCTGGGGCCCGCGCACTGGAGAAAGTCACGTCAAAGGATGTCCGAGTGGACGGGGTCGAGGGATCGCGCCGCATCGCCGATGCACAGGACGTCGACGCGGATAACATCGGGCTCCACATCGAACCGCAGTGCCGATGTACTGGCGATGCGGCGCGATCCTATTCCACCCACAGGCGGCCTAGGCTAGACGAACGAAACTCCAAAATTCAAGAGTTGCCCCAGAAATTCTCTGGCCCCCCCAGAATTCGCGAATGTATCGAACCAGGCGGGAGGGCACCAGTGCCAATCGGGGTTGGCGCGCCGAATGGGGCGCGACGAATTGGCGCCTGTTACCCCCCCCCCACCCGCTAAGGGCATCCCGCCCAAATCGGGGGGAGACCAGGAAACCATCGGGAAAACAAAGATCCGCAGATTTGCCTCAGCGACGTTGGCCTGGCCAAGGGGCGGCAGCCCCTTGCAAGCCCATGAAAGACCCGCCATTGCGCGATATTTTCACCAGGACCCATTGTACCGCGACCAATGTTCGAATGGAAATTCGGCGGTGGACAAACCTCCCTTTAGTAAATCTCCCCTTCATGAAAACGGCCTGGGACCGAAACTGACGGACCCGGACCCGCAAAAATGCCGCGACGCCCTCTCGCGAATCGTAAACGGCTAATTCCTGAATCGACGTGTCAGGGTAGGAGGTCTATCAACCTCCGAAGGATCGCGCACACATTGCACGCCATCTCTCCTCTCCCTCGATGGACCGCGCCGTCCCTCTCTCCGTCCCTCCAGGCACCCCGCCTTCCCTCTCCCCCGCCCTCGACGACGTATGCAGTGCTGCGCTCGGCCTCAAGACGCCACAAGAGTCTGCTGGACAGGGGGTGGCTTCCAACTCCCCGAGGATGCGCAATAACTAGGGGGAAAACAAACCTACCTCGCTTTTGATCACCCTCGCTTCCAAGAGATACCAAACGATGCCAAATTGCAGCCTGTTCTGGTCAGGCCGCTTGACGAGGAGGCGCGTGGTATGGCTTGGTTTTGCCTGGAAGCGAAAGCGGGGTAGGTAATTCACGCTCTGAATCACATCCAGCAAACACGCGAAGAACAGCAGGGCACCCTCCCCGAAGCGACCTCGATCTCATGCCTCGGCCCGACTGCGCTCGCGCAAGACTTGGGATGCCCGGAGCCTCGGCGTCGTGGTTGAGGAGGTCCACGAAGGGGACGATCACGTCCCCCGTCCCCGGGAGGCCGTGAACCTCAGGAGGCATCTCTATGAGGAGGTCTTCGCATATAAGAGCGATTGCTCGGGGAACAAGCGATGACACACGCGTAACAATCAGCGGTGCGCGCGGAATTCCTGGGATCGGCACTGGGGCCCCCTGGCGGTGCCTCCCTGCACCGCCCCTGGCGCGCTCCGCTCGCCAGGGAGGGGGGTCCAGCGCCGACCCGAGAAATCCGCGCGGCCCTCCGAGTTGTGATGTGTCTGTCATCGCTAGTTCCTGGACCAAAAGATATTAGGGCCGATTGAGGGGCCATTGAGCAAGATTACTCAGAACTGCATACGCCGGGGATCACGCCCGACTCAACTGGATTCAGCGACGCTCCACGGGCTTCTGCCGGCCCGGGCCTGCCTTCGCCCATGGACCTACCGGCGCTGATGCTGAATGTTTAGCGGGACCTGGCTTACCGATTCGGGGAGACGTGAGACTCGGGTTCGGGGAGATCGGGTTGGCCTGACGGGGCCGTCCGGAAAATGACGAGACCCGACCTGAAATCTGGCGCGGGCTGTCGCTGCAAACGTCCCACGAACATTGGATCGCCACAGTGCAGGAAATGCCCGTCAAAAAGCGTCGGCGAACCCGAGCTCTGGCAAACGCGAATCTTACGTTTTCCCCTGCTACGGCACACCTGGTCGAACGACTCTAGCATCTGTGTTTGGGAATCGAAACCATCTCAACGACTGGCTCCCCGGGACCTTGGCCGTACCCGACGGGGTTCCCTCCGAATGAACCCTCGAGAGGACGGTGATCCGGGCGGTGCGGAACGTCTCGAAGCCGCCCACGTGCCTTGCGTACAGGGGCGAATGGCGCAGCAGCACCTCGTGGGCCGCCCGCCACGCCTCCTGCAACTCGGAGGCCTCCGCTGACACGCGTTTTCTCTCCACCATCACCGCAAAGCAACGACAGTGCCAACCCAGAAAATCCGCCGACCCTGTCGGCGTGTGGAAGAGGCTGCTCCGTTTGACTCGTCGTCGTCGTCGTCATCGTCGTGGTCGTTGTCGTTGACGTCGTCGCCTTCGCCGCTCACTGCCCCTCCTTTCCCTAGGCCCGTCGCCGTTCCCCTCACTTTCACGAGGTTCGCCACAGCGAAATTGAGCAACGTGATAGTTGAGTCGAAGGGAAACCCCTTCCCTTTGATCCCTTCCCCTCGGGGGGGGCTGAGGGGGTCCCAGGGGTCCTCAATAGGCCCCAAGAGGCCCCCAACTACCCCCAAGAGGCCCCCGAGAGCGCTCGTCGTCGGCGGCGGCGGCGTCGTCGTCGTCGTCGTCGTCGCCATTCAGGGTCGGCGGCACCGGCCGTAAGGCCTTCGCAATATAGGAGTGAAGAGACGACTCGCCAAGCAAACCAAGACCAACGTGCACCGACCTGCAACAGGCAAGCATGCGCAGTGGACCGTGCAAGACGAGGCCAGGACAGGGACGCCATCGGACAAGGACAAATCGGAGATCTCGGAGATTGGGCGGTTCTGGACGATGTATCGGGCGCCGCGGCCTTATAAGAGCGCTCCAGAACGCTCTGCGAGCGGTCTGGCACGCGCTGGGCAAGACCTATTCCTGTCTTACTGGGATCGGCGCGGGGGGTTCTCAGGGGACAGTGGGGTTATCAGTGGATGCTAAGGTGGGTTATATCAGCCCTGACCCAACTTCTAAGCGGGCTGCAAGGGTCCGAACCGTAGCCACGCCCGCCCTCGACCTGGGGGACACAGCAGAAGCTTCTCCTCGGCTGCGCTCGCGGGCGCGTCTGCGCAGAGCGCGCGGGCCGCGCCGGGCCCGGGGGGGCGCACCGCGGCTAGGTCGGGCACGTCCCCATAGAGGCGGACTTCGCAGGACAAGTGAAACAAATGTTAACACAGATTTTTACCAGCCTGGAACATATTCCTATCCCTGCGCTGGGCATCGCCTCGTCACAATGCCAATATTAGGGATTCCCTTAGTTTTTCAGGGCGCATCCCTAAGATTGGCAACGCCTTTTGGCGTGTCAATCTTAGGTATAGGGATAAGTTCGAGGCTGGTGATATTCCAACATGGTGAAGCAGTAATCAAAAAATCGTCCATGGATAATTGTTTGCCTATTCTCGAGTGTTCCTCCTGCAGAGGGACACGCCCGACTCAACACTAGGGCGGGTGGAACAGAGGAGGGCGGCCGCCGGAGGCAAGGGGAGCAAAAAGCGGCCCGGCTGCGAGAATCGAGGGAGCACGGGCGCACAGGAAGGCGGCCTCAGGCAGGGCAACTGCGCTGGCGGAGGGCTACCTAATTAGAGGGGGTACCGTTGTAGCGAGACAAAGCAGAAACACAAACGGCCCCAGAAAAGAAACGTTGGAGGCCTCCGCCAGCACGCTGGTGCCGCCGAAGGCCGCCCGCAGCAGCGGCTCGCGCAGGGCGGCGGGGGAGAAGCCGAAGCCGCTGGGCAGCAGGTCCAGCCAGGGGCGCCAGTCCGACTCGGCCACGTTCTTCTCCTTTACATGGGAGAGCGCTACTGCTCGTGGAGGCTTGGAAATGGGCACCGACACCAACACGGACGGGGGGGTCCGTCCTCTGGGGGGAGGTGACCCTCGATCTCTGCGTTTGTGCGGTAAATGTTTCGGACACCTAGGAAGCCCGCGGGTCTTACCACCATCACCGAGATCGGGGTCCTCTTCCTTCGGTTGAGGCGCACCGCCGATAGTGGTGTGGGGTCAACCTCTAGACCTCCGATACTCTACGCCTCCACCGAGCCTTGCTGACCAGGCTCCTCCTGGACCCAGGGTCGGTGTATGCGCCCCCCGCGCTTTGGCAGGAAGGCATGTACTTCTATTATTGACCAAAGATCGGCCTGGCCAAGATCTGTGTTTAGTGTAAGTTAGGCGTGAAACTGGTGCCCCCCGCTCCTTCGCCAGCCACACGGCAAGCTGTATCTGCCCGAGCGCCTCCTCATTGTTCTCCGAGGATAGCAGGCGACACTCACGCATGCAGGACGGGTCGCGCACCGTGCAGGACGAGCAGTTCTCGCGGTGTCGCATCAGGACACTGTAGACCTCGGCGGCCAGGGGGTCTGCGGCTGGTAAGGCTTCGGGCTGCGCAGAGACAGTGTCCCCAGGTGGCCCCAGCTGGCCTCAACAGGCCCCCCGCGCAATTCCGGCTGACCTCAACAGGCCCCCGAGCAGTCCGGCGCGGTCTCCTCGGACCCCGTGGCGCGAAGCGCCCCCTGGGGCGCGGCTGGAGGCGGCGCCGGCAGGTGGAGACCGCCCCTGGACTCCCGGGGGGGAGCTGGGCTATACGCACTTCTGAGGCACAACCCATGGGAGCCTCCCGTGCCATCGTGTGGGCTGTTGCGAATCGACCCTCGTCGACACTGAATCCTCGCGAATCGACGCTAAATCGACGCCAAAGATAGCATCACGAGGGTACGCAACACGCCCATGAATGACTTGCTACCGAATGTGCCCCGGGTTGGAGCCTTCGAAACCTCCCAAACACCACACACACACACCACAAACACCAAAGACCACCTGACACCACGCCCCAAAAGCCACATGCCCAGAACCTCAGAAGCCCGACACCTCAACACCGCCGCGGCCAGCGGGGGCCCCCTGGGGCAGGGGGGGGGGGCGGCCCGTGCGCAGGCCCCGAAGCCCCGCCAGGTCTGCGGCCACGGCGGCGCGGCGCACCAAGGCCTCCTCGATCGTGGGCGAAAGAAGCACTATCATTGAGCGAGGCTGCCAAAGGCGCCTCGAACTCGACGCACCGCTCGCTGATCATGAGGCGGACAGACAGAGCTCTACCGATGCGCCTGCCGTCTCTCATCGCGGCCCGCTTGGAAAAACAACGGTTGCGTGCGGCCGTGCTTCCACGCCGCTCTGCGCGCAGCAGCATCCCCGCGATCAATCTCAGCCAACAAATCTGGACAGTGGCGCGATCGAGGAACAATGTGCGAAAACACAGATCCGTTTCCACGGCCTCGCGGGCTGGGCCCCTTTGGGGCCGCGACCCCGCGGATGCGGTGGAGGTTTGAGATGAGGATGTAATTGTAAAGGAACGCGGAGGCCCGAAACGGCGAAGCTTATTGTCTTTTAAAGAATGGTCGAGACCTTGGGCAAAAAAGGCTTAGGCCCGACATGACTTACGGAATTTCCCCGAACCCTGAACTGCGCACGCAAACCCTTACAACATAAAGAATGCCCGAGGGTTCCACCTGCAAACAACACTTCCTTATAGAATGCTCCCCCCGTGCACGGGGCGTTTCTATTCGCGGATGCCCCGCGCGGAACGGTTCCGTGCGACCGCGTGTCCGCGGGATCGGGCCCCGGTATCCAGACCGCGAAGGCGCGGATTATCATTCGGTGGTGGCTGAAGATGCCCCTGGCCCAAGGTGCCTCCAGCTATTCGCTCCACTTTGGAGCCCCTGGGCACTCTGGCCCTCGTGATGGGGTGCTGTGGAGGCCGTGGGGGCCTCCCGCGGAACTCCTGGGGGGCTCCTTGGGCCAGGGGCACTTCTGAAACAACACCCGGATTCGAAGGGGCGACGGGCGGCAGAACAAAGTGCCCCAACGTCGGGAACGCCTGCCCTCCGGAGCGGCTGCAAAGTTTGTACCCCGGTTAGTCAAAACCACCCAGACCAAATGCTAGGACCATAAGGGCCCGCGGGGGGGGCTAACTACGGGGAGGGGCTCAGACTATTCAAGACCAGGAATAAACAACTCAATCCGCACAGCTCCGCGAGCAACGCTCACCGATCCAGCAGACCAAGCTGCCGCCTCTCAGGAATGCCCTGCCAGAAACGAGCATGACGAGGTAAGAACTCTCGCGCGCCGCGGGGCCGCTCCCGCCGACAGCCTTCCATCGCGGAGGTCGTCGCGCCAGGGCGCGATCCCCAGGAGGGGTGCGCCAATGCGCGAGGTCGGCGGATTTGGCGGAGCCAACGGTGAGGAGAAGGAGGATGGGGGATGAGGAAAGGGTGGTGGAGTAGAACGAAGAGGACGAAAAGGGCAAGGGGAGGGGTAGGAGGGGGCAGGCAAGGGCGAGGAGGAAGAAGAAACGAGAGGGAGATGGCGAGGTAAAGGAAGAGGACAAGGGCGAGTGGCAGGTGGAGCAGGGCGAAGGCGCAGCAGTGGCAGCAGCGGCAGTGACAGAAGAGGGAGCAGGGGCCGCTGCTCCATTTCAACAGACAGTTTGCTGCTGTCACTGTTGCACCATCCTCGGCGGCATTGCCTGGGCCAATCCCCAGGCCGACGCACCGCCGAGGCCGCGCGCCCACGCCAGCGCCGCAAGCCTGCAGCACTGGACCAGCCAGCCACGTCGAGCCAGCCATGCCCATTTTCCTAGTTGTATCCTTAGCTCCCACTCCCTCTTCATCCACCCCCTTTCTCCTCGTCCCCGCTCGCCCCCCTGCCCCCCCCTCCCCTCGTGCTGACTCCCTCCTCCTTCTCCTCCTTCTCCTCTTCCAGTCCTGCCTTCCCTCCTCTCCCTCCTCGTCCTCTCCTTTCTTATATGAGGCAAAGTGCGGAGCCCCCATCTTATTTCCCCCCTCCCTCCTCCTGATCCCCCTCTCTCGCCCATGTATCTGGGACTGCTGGCTCGGCGCGGCTGGCCTAGTTCCCCTCGCAGCAGACCCCGACCCCGCTGCAGGGATTCCACTCGCGGATCGTTGTCCCCCGGCCTAGAAAGACATCGAACCGGAAAGAAAACCCGAAATCAAGCCACGCCTAAACCACGACGGCGAAACCTTTGATCTCCCAAACCTCACGGCCCAGAGGCGGGGCGAAGGCGCGGGAAAACGATCCGACATCGCTGGGGGCTGGCTCGCCGGCGCCGGCGCTCCAGCCTGAGAACTCCAGGAAGGCGTCCACGAACAGCTAGTCGCACCCCTCCTCGACCACGCACTCGACCGCGCTCTGGAGCCACGAGTTGGGCTTCTTCGCCGTGATGAGCCAGCGAGAGCACGCCTCCATGGCCGCCTCGTCGGACTTCATCCAAAACGAGAGGCGCACGCCGAGGGCGTCCGAGGTGGAGATCACCTTCTCGGCGAAGACGAAGTTGAAGGGGATCACGACGCCCTCCCCGGAAGACACCATCGTGTGGCACAGGCGGCCGCCCGAGGAGAGGAACGCGTCGATCGACTCCTTGGCCATGCCCTTAAAGAAGGACAGGAGGTGATCGGGGCCGACCTGGCTCATCCCGTTCCTCTCCATGAAACTCCGAAGCGACGCGCAGCTGGCCGCCACCACCTGCCGACACCCCTGAGTGTGGACGCGGAGCGATGGGCACCGCCCGCGCTCGATGCTCACCGTCTCCATGGCCTTGCAGATGCCGAAGACCGCTGGCTGGAGCTCCGCGTGCATCTTCTCGAACGGGAGGTGGGGCGAGTCAAGGACGACGGCGTGGAGCACCGACATCGCGTTCTTGACGGCGTCGCCCTTGATGGGCTTCTCAGCGCGGCCGTCGGTGGTTCGCAACCTGCCGAGCAAGCGGGCGGGGCGATGGAAAGAGATGGCGAGAGGGGGGCGGCGAGGGAGATGGCGAGGAGAGACGACGAGGTGGACCCAAGGAGGACGCGGAGGAGGAGGACGAGGACGAGGAAATAGATGAGGCAGAGGAGAAGGAGGATGAGGAGAGAAGAGGAGGAGGAGGAGGAGGAGGAGGAGGAGGAGGTGGGGGAGGAGGAGGAGGACGGGGAGGAGGAGGAGGAGGAGGAGGAGGAGGAGGAAGAGAAGGAGAAGGAGGAGGAGGAAGAAGGTGACGGCATCACCTCCAACCTCCGACTCTGCTGATCCTCCTTCGTCGTCCGCCTCCACCTCCTCCAAATCATTATCCTTTTTCTCTCCTCGTCCTGGTCCTCGCCCACGGTGCTCCTCCGATCCTCCCCCGCAACCTCGAGGACTGGAACTTCGGCGCGAACGCGTTGGCCATCTCCGTGAGGGCATCGAGGTCCTCCTGGCTCACGTTCTTGACGCGGGTCGGCGTGGCCAGGGCGTTGACCGGGATGTCCTGCGCGATCTCGAAGGTCGGCATGGCGGTGCCCTTCTCGACGCCCCGGTCGAACAGCTGGAGCCTCGACCCGCTGCCCTGAAGTGCTATGCCAGCCTTGTCGCCCTTCGCGACCTTCCTGGCCTTGCCGCCGTCCTTGTTCTTCTCGCACGCCTGCTTGAGTGCGTTCTTCAGCGTATTCGTGGCGTTCCTCGTCATGGAGATCAGGTCATTGAGGGCGATCTTAAAAGGCTTGACCTCCTCCGCCACTTGTTTCAGATCTGCTTCGGACTCGGCGAGCTTCAGCTTCTCCCAATAAGGCTGGTACTCATGCAGCACAATCAAGCTCCTGTAAGAACGGCATGGCGGAGTCAGCTGCGAACTCCGAAACCCTGCGATGAAGACCTTGAGATTGCGGGCTGCCCTCTTCTCGCGCCTCTCCGCGATGCTGAGGCCCTCGGTGGAGGTGGTCGCCGAGAACCTGTCGACTGGGCCAGCGCGATCCGCATCCTCGAGGAGGGGGGGAGGTGGAGGAGGAGGAGGAGGAGGAGGAGGAGAAGGACGAGAAGGAGGAGGAGGAGGAGGAGGAGGAGGAGGAGGCAGAGGAGGAGGAAGAAGGCGGGTGAGGAGGGCGGATGAGGAAGGTGGCTGGAGGGAGAAGAGAGGAGGGAGGAGGAAGGATCGAGGAGGGCGGAGGAGGGGGAACGAGGAGGAGGAGGAGGAGAGGACGAGGGTCGGACGAGGAGGTGGAAGCAGGAGGAGGACCAGGACGAGGAGGAGGACGAGGAGGTGGAGGAGGAGGAGGGGGATGAGGAAGTCACAGTGGGTAGGAGTACACTGAAACTCCCCCTGGCTCGTCGACCCTCCTGCCTCGTTAACTCCTCCATTCCCTGTCCCCCCTCATCCATCCTTCCATCCTCATCCGTTCACGCCCCCAGTGTCCTCGAACGAGCTGGAGAACATGCGCCTCGGCGGCCCACCGACACCGGACGCCAGCGCCACCGCGACCTTGTCGACCTTCTCGGCACTGTCCACGACGTCAGGGGCCTTCGCTAGGGTCGAAGTCTCAGCGCCAGCGCCATCGCAAGCCTCCTTCTTCTCTCCAAATACCTCGCCGGCCGCCTCAGCATCGTTGTTGCCCTTCTTGTCGATGATGTCCTTCTGCTGCTCGTCCTTCTGCTTGTCGCCCTCCGTCTGCTCGTCCTTCTTCTCGCCGTGCTCGCCGCCCTCGTCCTTCTGGTCGTCGCCCTCCGTCCTCTGCTCGTCCTTCTGCTTGTCGCCCTCCGTCTGCTTGCCCTTCGTCTCGCCTGTCTCGCCGCCCTCGGCCTTCCCCTGGTCGGGCTTCTGCTCAAGCTTCTGCTGCTCTGCCGCAGCCTCTGGTGGACCCGCTGGCGAAGCAGTCAACTGAAGACAGCTCTTCGACGATGGAGGACTGCACGCAGGGGAAGCCTTGCTCATTGGCGACTCCATGGAACGAAGACTAGCAACACTGGCCTCCGCCAAAGCCTCCTCCGTCAACATCGGGCCAACTAACTCTTCGGGCTGATCATCCCAAGCCTTCGAGTGATCCGCCAATCCCAGGACGAGGCTGCACGCCCGAGCACGCATGTTGATCACGTTCACCTCGGTCTTGAACTTCTCGCCAAAGCTGTGCTCGTTCACCTGGTTGACGAGATCCAACGATTGAGAATGAAGATCACGCAACACCTTCGAGATGTCAGTGGCCCATGTTTCCTGTGTCCTTACTGCCGCGGCGATCTTCAGGTCCTTCTCCACCCATATCTTCCGCTTCTTCTCAGCAGGTGGTTGATCGCCGCCATCCTGACCAACTTTTCTTTTCTTCTTGCTTTTCGGGTCAGTCGCCTCCTCCTCGTGACCATCGCTACCGACGTCTTCGTCGTCAACCTCCTCTCCATCATCGGCAGCTGCTTTCATCGCCCCGGCCAGCCCCTTGATGCCTCCAAGGTTCACGAGCTGGCCGTCAAACGCGCTCGAGAGAGAGGCGCGGTCGGCAGCCTTCGCGCCCTTGCTGAGCAGCTGGAAGACGCCCTTGGAGTCCAACTGGGCGCTGGCTCCAGTCACATCCTGGAGGTTGGTGTGCAACTTGTTGCACGCCCTGTCGATGTCCTCCTGTGTCGTTTTTTTCGTGGCCTTGTCGAGCAGATCGTACCCCTGGCCTCTGATGTAGGCGTCGCGGTCCACAAGGACCGTTCTCACTGCAACGCCGAGCCTCGTCTCGTAGCCCTTGTGCTCGCCCATGTAGTCCACGATCTCCTCGGGGTCGTCAATCCTCCTCTTGAACTCTGCACTCGCCTCGCTCGAGGACAATCCCCGCGGAGGCCAGTTCTTGGGCTTCGACGCCCAGTGGACGAACGCCACCTCGTGCATCATCTCCTTGACCCCGTCCCTGAGCTGCTGCTGCTCGACCCGTACCGATTGTTTGTACTGCATCGGGGCGAAAGCCTTCGGCTTGCTGTGCTCCTTCGCGAAGTCCTGACAATTCAACCGATACCACCTCTTAAGCTTCGCCCACTTCTTTGGGCAAGACCTCTGCGCCTCGTACCACTCGATCTCGTTCTCAGCCTTGCACGCGCGATAGATGTTGTCCCTCGTGCGGAGACACGGCTTCAAGCACACTGTAGATCCAGGCTTGAACTCCGAGAGGAGCTTCGTCAGCCCGCAGTCAGTGCACTGCCGTCTCCCAGCCTTCACCGTGGTCGGGCGACCGTTGGCAGACTTCTTCGGGCTCCCCTTCGAGCGCTTCTTCTTCGCGCCGCCCTTCGCCCTCCCCTTGGCCTTATCCTTTCTGCCGGCCGGCTGTGCTGCGCCAGAGCCCGCCTCGTCGTCATCCTCTGCGCCCGGCGACTGCTCGCGCTGCTCGCAGTCGCCCTGGCTGGGCCCGCCCATCCCGTTGTTCAGCTCTTCGTCCGAGTCCATGGCGCCGAGACGTGCCCGGCCCAGCGCGGGGGGCAGGGAGGGCCGCGAGGGGCCAGCGACTGGCACCACTGTGGGCCATAAAGCTCGACCCTAGAGAATTGACCGCAGGCAGCCCTGATCGCAGACCCTCTGGAGGTAAGACCCAAACTCATTCCTAGCCGAATCAAGCCACTCCCTAGAACATCTGAAACGCCCCAGAGCACATGAGTCCGAGGACCCGCCCATACAGAATCCAGAACAGAAATCACCGTCCGATTTCAACGCACACGGTCATCTAGATATAAACCCGCTGAGACTAACACCCTGCTACATCGCCGAAACCAGACGCCATTTCAATGAGAGCGAGGCTGCCCCAGCCGAATGACTACTGGAGGAGGCTGGGGAGGGGTCCACAAGGAAACATCTCGAAACTACAAGTGGCCAACATAGGGGCAGTCTAAGGGCGGCCCTCCACGGGGCCGATGGCTTCATGGGACAATCCCGATGGCATGGGGAGGAGACTTACGGGTGAGGGCTTGATTTTGCTTACCCCTCTCAGCAAGATAAACTGATCAATTGTCGAATCCGCTGCTGGCGCCACGCACTGCCGCAGTCGCCCACCCCAGTCAAAGCCAGCACGCCGACGTACATCGGCGAGATCGCGCTCTCCTCAGGCTGGAGACACGGGCTCCGAATCCGTCGCCGACGTCCTCAGGATCGAGTGGGAAGTGGCGAGGACCATCATGAGGACAGCGCCGATGGCGGGCCAGGAGAAGCCGACCCCGCAGATGGAGCGCAGCTCCGCACACTGCAAGACGTCCTCACTGACGGGGGGGTACTCCGCCATGACGATGGACTTGAACGGGAAAAACTGGCCGGCGTCATTCGCGACATACTGCGGCACTGGGAAGCCTTGAATGAGGAGGTGTTCGATCGGCAGGATCTCCTTCATCGAGATGATGTCGAACAACATCGACCTCTGGAGAAGCGACGGCGCATACTTGGATACGCCGAAAAAAAGGTCATTCTGAAATAAGTTCACGATCTGGATGGGAACCTTCGCCTCCAAGCAGCGCTCGCAGTCCGCGCGCTCTAAATTCTGGTGCAACCTCACCTTCATCACCGCGTCGCCGAACGGGCCGAGGTCAAGGTGGGACTGGCTCACCGGCAAGAGGACGCGCCCCTCCCCAGCGCCGCCAGCCCCAGAGCTAGACGCGGCGGAGGACGGCGGAGCTGCCTCCCGTGGGTGCGAGTCGCCCACGTCGGTGGCCGCCTGCGACTCCTCGGTGAGGTCGAAGATCCTCCACGCCTAAAGGGGGATGAAAGCGCGAGGGCGAGCGCAGAGGCGAGGTCGAGGGGAAGGAAGAGAAGGTGAGAAGCGAGCGGGGTAAGCATGGGCAAGGGCGAAGAGCGAGGAGGAATGAGGGGGCGAAGAAGAAGGATGGGAAGAGGTGAAAAAAAAGAGGCGAAGGAGGAGGATAGGAAAGGGGGGGGAGGGCGGAGAACGGGGACAGTCGAGTTGGGAGGTAAGGGGGAATGGGTGAGGGATGTGGGAGAAAACCTTCTGCCTCCAAGACCCCATTTGCCCGCCTCCCTCCCTCGTCGGGAGGGGGCTCGAAAAAGTGAATTTACCCTGGTCACTGCTGGTGGCAATTGGCAACGAAGGATTGGGTGAAGGGTTTGCTATCTTGACGCCCCGCGCCTCCTGCCGCTTCTGAGCCCACCCCATGACGTGCGATCTGAAAGTGGCGTCATCGGAGGAGGCAGCCATGAACACCCTGGCGTCGGTGACGCAATTCCTGAAGAACATCTCCTCGAATACGTGATTCATGGTGTCCTCGCTCAGGGTGTGGATCGTGCCGGCCAAGTGGAACCACGCGTAGACGCGCTTGCGGCTGGTGGGGAATCCGAGGTCCACTGGGCTGAAGCGGTGCTGGAACAGACAATACAATCGAGTCCCCTCACCTTCATGCCAAAGCAACGGCCGGCTCAACGGGTCTTTGGGCGAGGCCATCGTCGGTTCCCAATCTGGCGGCGAATCGACCTCGCTTGCATTCAAAATCTCCTGGAAGGGCTCCACCTTGAAACTCGGGGCGTTCTCCATGATGACGTCGTCGGGCTCGTAGAATCGCGCGCTGTGCGCCCAGGTCAGCGCCGGGAGCGTGGACTCATCCAAGAAGTTGTTATGACTCCCAATCGCGCACCATGGATTGCATGTGACCCCGGCGCACTCCAACCACCTGCAAGTCTTGAAGCGCGGATCAGATCTTGGCGAGATCTTGCACCTGCGATTGTGCTTCACGCAAAAGGCCGAGTCGAGGAAACTGATCTGGCTCAATATTTCATTCAGCTCCTTCACGAACTCACCAGCCATCGATGTCTTGATGTCCTCGAACTCCTTCTGAGAAAGCGTCGGTGGATGCTGCTGAGTACCCTTCAGGTCGTCCTTCAGCTTCTTGAATGAAGAGAGTCTCTCAGCAACCAGAGCTTCGAGCATCTCGCGGCTATCCTGTGGCACCCGATCCATGATGTCCGCGAAGATGCGCTCTGGGGCGCCGCGGCCCGAATGGGCAGCCAAGACCTTCAAGGGAACCTCGCCCTTGTCCCATGCGGCGTACACGTAAAGATTCTGCGAGAAGCACTGGCTGAAGTGGTCGGACGCCCTGCCGAAAATGTAGGCCGCGACGCTGCCGCAATTGCCTCTCAGGGAGCGGAAGTACAACGCGGGAAAGGTCGAGGATGACGACGGGGAGGGGGAAGGAGGCAGGGTCCGTCGGTGGACAGAGGAGGGGAAGGGCGAGGCATGGGCTGTGAAAATCAAGCGGCCTGCCGTCGCAGTCCATCTTAGATGGACTGCGACGTGCCATTCGTAGATGGACCATCTACGAATGGCATGGCGACGAGTGGATGGGGCGGGAGTTGGAGAGGATAAGGGGGCCTCATCCGATCCGCGCCCAGCCCATCCCATCTTATCCTCACCGGCATCCCCAAAAAATCACCTCACCTCCCCCTTTGCATTTTGCACCCTCCCCCCCCTGGCCTGCGCCAGCATAGGACTCCGTGATGACAAGCTTCGCCTCCATGTTCATCCTGAAGTTGTTAATGTAGTCCACGTCCTGCCCCGGCAGCTTGGACATCATGCTAATCTTGTTGATCACCTGGGGGAACCAATCGATCAACTCGGACAACGTCGAGGCGCCATTCGTGAACCACCTGTGGCACTTCGTGGGCAAGGACGCCTTCTTCTGCGACTTCTGGGTGAACGCCTCGTCCAAGTCCGCGGTGAGCGAATCTGTGGACATCACGGACCTCTTGAAGCCCCCCGGCCGCTGCGCCTGGGCCTGCTCCGCGCCCTGAAGGTCCGCGACGATGGACTCGTCCCCGCTGTCTGCGACCTCCATGACCTCGGCGTCCTCCTCGTTGCCCGTCCTCTCGGGCAGTCGCGAACCGAGTGGCCCAACGTCGCTAATCGAGACCCCCGATGGCCCCATAAGGAACCGCCCGCACTGGACTCCGACACGACCCGAGCCTAAAGCCTCGAGAACCAGACCGACGCCAACGGACTCCGAGACGCTCTACCCACTGGCCCTGGCCCGGCTTGTCTGTTCAATGCACTGGCACCTCCCTCCGTGGCCAGTATGTTTAGCCTGATGCCAGGCTTTGGAGGTGTCGGGCGTGGAGCCCCGAAAAAAAAATGGCCCGACCCGACCCCCCAATTAACAACTACCCCCTGCCATCCTGGTCGCCGCGCCACCAGCGCTGGCGCTGCCACAGACGGCCCCTGGCGCGGCCGCGGCTGCCGCGGCCGCTGGCGCTGGCGCCTCCTGCAGCTGCTGATGCCGCTCCTCGCTCTGACGCCTCACATCCGAGATGCTGTCAGCGAAAGCCGTCTGCTCGGCCGCTGGGGCACAGATCTCCTGCCGCCCCCGGCTCTCTCGGATCCTCCGGGCCCTGGCGCGGTTCTCCGCGATCCTGGCCCGCTGCTCGTCCGTGAGGGCTGGCTCAGCTGGCTGCGGCGGCGGCAAAACCTGCTGGCCAACCTCGGGGGCGCGGCGCGGGCGGGCTCAAGGCTCAAGATCGCGGGCGGAGGGTGGGGAAGACAGGGCGAGCAAGAAAAGGGTGGGAAGAGAAAAGGGCCAGGATCGAGGAGCAATTGACAAGGACACAGGACGGGGGAGAGGCGGGTCGAAGGTAGACTAAGGCGAGAGAGAGAGAGGGGGGGAGGAAGAGGGAGCGGGAGGGCCGTGGATGAGGAGGGGAGGGAGAAAGAGAAATAGAGGGAGAGAGAGAGAGAGACGGCGAGGGGGGAGGCGAGACTGCGAGACAGGGAGCATCATAAACTATATGCGCAAAGCGCGAATCATTGATATTGGGAGGGAGCTGGATGCAGGGAAAAATAAAGGGATCACCATTATATGCACTCAAGCACGCAGGATGGCCCGCGGAACGGAGGGCGGGGAGAGGGACAGGGATAGAGAGACGGATGCAGGCAGGGAAAGAGAGAGCAAGAGAGAGAGAGAAAGAGAAAGAGAGAGAGAGAGAGGCAGGGACATAGTGGTATATGTCAGGGAGAAGGGAATTCCTTGGACTGAAGACAGTGAGAGCGAGGGGGGAAATGCCGCGAAGGCACTTGCGTTTTACGTTGGTTGTGCAGACCTCCCGTGCTTTAGGGATGTTTAGGGGCCGTGCTTTAAGGATGTTTTAAGAGCCGTGTTTTAGGGATGTTTGAGGGGCCGTGTTTTAGGTATGTTTTAAGGGCCCGGCTCCAGGGATGTTTTAGGGGCCGTGTTTTAAGCATGTTTTAAAGGCCGGGCTTTAAGGATGTTTTAGGGGCCAGGCGTCAGAGAATGGTTTAGGGGCCTCAAGAGAGCCGCAAGAAGGGGGGAATGAGAGGGAACGAAAAACCTCGAATGGGGGGATGAGGCAGGGCACGTGTACTACAGACAGGGGCGCCGAGGAGGTTGGCAGGAGGGAAAGGGGTGGGGGATACTTGAATAACAAGGACGCCGAATACTACAACA